AAATAAACTGAATTAAATTGAAATGTAAGTGAAAGTCACAAAGATCTTCACAACGAAATACAAATCATTGAAATGAAGACAATGCAGTAAATTTCCAAAATTAGAACTAAACAATCCAATCCTTAAATAAAGATGTCCTCAGCTGCTTTTAAAAGCTTCAGATCTGCCGGTAAATTCAGACAACATGGTTTGGTTTAGATCCTGTCAGAGACACGACCAGAGACGAGTGTGGGTCCTGCCACTCTGAAGAGGAACTTTATTTCATCCCCATCATTTCAGAAGCTGCCTCAATCCACTGATGTCCACAGCTGCCTGAGAGCCATGAGCCAGCCAGGAGGTGTTCTACCTTTTTCCAGGTGAGGACCGTGACCCCACACTTGGAAGTTTTGATCTCCGTCTCACAATCGCCCAGCTACAGGTCCCAGCTCGATGAAGTCAACAGGATGATCTGCAAAGATCAGTGATGAAATCTGAAACGTATCTCAGAAACTCTCAGCTCTTTGGCAACACCTGGAAACTCGTGTCAGAATATCCTCCGTACCCTCTTTCTGGTAAATCCTCACTGAGTCACATGCATAGCCCATAAAACACAGAGTCAAGCGCTAAGTGGGAATATTTTCAGCATCAGTTTTGTTGTTATTTATCATTTACCACTGTTGTTTCTGGCAGCCTGGCAGTGACCTCCATGTAAGGAGTTGATGATCATCAACACGGGTAAGAGTTTGCTTGTAATCCAGTAGGATGGACAATTGTTTACATTTAAAGGAGCCAAAAGCCGACAGGTGGAGTGCAGCTCAGGTGGTGACTAGACTAGGAATGATGTCAGTTTGGCATCAAGGGGATGTGCTGCTAATTTAGGATTAGCTTTAAAGACTGTCACGCAGGCTTTCCTCATTTCTGAGGTTTGCTGCATGCTTGTTAACCAGAAACAAAACCTAGCTTAATAATTGAAAGCGTCATGAAATTTAAATGTGCGCTGTTCTCATTCTGAGCTGAGCTGTTGCTTTATTTTGGGCTCAGCTTGCAACGATTTTTAATGTTTGCACACGTCTCATCTGGTCACGGCCGGCAGCTCATGGGGATGCTGGAAACATCCCGGAGAGTTTCCGGTCTGAATAAATGTGATTCCATCCCTGATTCTGTGATCTGTCATTTACAACATTTTCACAGCAGAGGAAGAAGTTGTCTTGATATTAAAATTTGTTTTGTTAAAGTTCAAAATGATCTTCTGTGCAATATTTAGATTAAATCTGGAACGAATGAGGACTCGCTTAGCAGAGTGATATGTCATATTATTGATGGCTTAATGGGTGGGGGTGGGGGGGTGGGGGGTCACCACCAATCACATAATCCTCCTGTCAGTAAAACCGGAAGTGACATTTGACAAGAAAACAACTAAACAAATGGAAGTTCTGTTGTTTAATGTGTAGCTGAATTGATTACATCATGAAAAAAAAGCTTGTTTTCTTAAATATCTGATACAAAAATATATTTCTGATGAATATTTATAAAGAACAAGTAAAACAAGAAAAAACAAACAGCAACGTGAAAAGGTTCAACTGTCTTCTTAGGGTTCTGCAACCCCCCAAAGTGCTTCACAACACAACTGCCCCTAGATAAACTATCATTCATTCATTCATTCATTCATTCATTCATTCAGTTAAATCAAGATGTGGAACAAATGAAATATGCTTTTATTGTTTTTGCTTTAATAGATAGATCTGCACTCAGTCCATTAGTTATAATCATCATTTTAAAATCTGCTTTTTAAATGAAAAGTAGTGAATGTAAATGTTAAATTAGAACTTTTTATTCAGATTTTGACCATAAAAGGCCACGCAGGTTTAGTTTGTTCCTCATCTAAATAAATACGTTCTTTTCACCACCAGATCACCCCCCCCACCCCCCCCACCCCCCCCACCCCCCCCACCCCCACCCCCCAACCCTCCGGTGGTCATTCCGCAGCTGTTTGCCATCTGATACAACCTGAAGCTTCCCCATCATTCCGGGCATCTTTATCCCAGAGATGACGGCAGAATCTGCTGCTCCAGAGGTCGCAGAAGGGCCGGTCGATGATGAGTCAGCTTTAGTTCTGCTGGATCCTTCCCAGCTGTGCACACAGAGGAAGCTCCGTACATGTCACCTTGTTACAGGCCAGGAACGGGATGCTTAGTGGAAGTGATGATTTCATATTTTATACATTTTGACTTCAGTGATGCTCTTCTGTGTTTGAGGCTGAAATCCAACACGTCTGCTTTACATGCATTGTATTTCTAATATGCCTGGGGGTTTCAATAATCCCATTTCCTCTCTGGAGAGCCAAAAACGATCTTACATTTCAAAGTTAATCTCAACTTTCCCTTCAAGTTTTCGAAGGAAAACACAACAGCAGCTCAGACCAGAGTTACAACTCTGATTTGCTGCATAAACGTAGCATTAAATGTGGGAACATCACTTATTTGGTGAAATGAAGATTCTCAGTAATAAATCTGCCTTCACCAGAAAGCCTGATTATTAAGCCTCGGGGGTGGATTGGCCCTCAGAGAGGGGGGGTTGCTCGTGGACGATAGGCCAGTCCGCCCCTGCTGAGCCTTCACCAGGAGGTAGAACTCGGAATGATCGTGTGTCCATGGAGAAAACCACACAGCTCGTTCCACAAGTGCATGATCCTCACAAGTTCTGCTGCTCGTAACTCTCTGATGAGACATTACAACACGTAGCTTCACTGAAGCAACGACACCATCATCCAACTATCGTTTCTTCATCTTTGTGCCAAATGTAATGAATCTAAGGCGTGAATCTGTTTCATCCAAATCTACACATTTCTGGTCTGGTGGAGGCCTACGGGAAACACGTAGTCTCATCCTCATCCATTCATTAACTCATTCATTCATCCACTCATCCATCCATCCATTCATTTACCCATTCATTCATCTACTCATCCATCCATCCATTCATTTACCCATTCATTCATCCACTCATCCATCCATCCATTCATTTACCCATTCATTCATCCACTCATCCATCCATCCACTCATCCATTCATTCATCTACTCATCCATCCATCCATTCATTTACCCATTCATTCATCCACTCATCCATCCATCCATCCATTCATCCATTCATTCATCTACTCATCCATCCATCCATTCATTTACCCATTCATTCATCCACTCATCCATCCATCCATTCATCCATTCATTCATCTACTCATCCATCCATCCATTCATTTACCCATTCATTCATCTACTCATCCATCCATCCATTCATTTACCCATTCATTCATCCACTCATCCATCCATCCATTCATTTACCCATTCATTCATCCACTCATCCATCCATCCACTCATCCATTCATTCATCTACTCATCCATCCATCCATTCATTTACCCATTCATTCATCCACTCATCCATCCATCCACTCATCCATTCATTCATCTACTCATCCATCCATCCATTCATTTACCCATTCATTCATCTACTCATCCATCCATCCATTCATTTACCCATTCATTCATCCACTCATCCATCCATCCACTCATAGCATAGCATAGCATAGCATAGTTTATTTATATAGCACATTTAAAATGCAGCATGGGAGCTGCCCAAAGTGCTGCACAGGCTAAAACAAAACACACCCATTACAAGGAGCTAAAACTAAGGATAAAATCTCAATTAAAAGCAGAGAAAACATGAATAATAAGAACACATTAAAACACTAAAACGAGTCACTGTCTAAAAGCCAAAGTGTAAAAGTGGGTCTTTAAACGAGATTTAAAAACCGCCAGAGATGGAGCCTGCCGAACTCCAATGGGCAATGAGTTCCATAGCTTTGGGGCAGCATGGACATGGATGAGTGATTCATTCATCTACTCATCCATCCATCCATTCATTTACCCATTCATTCATCCACTCATCCATCCATCCATTCATTTACCCATTCATTCATCCACTCATCCATCCATCCACTCATCCATTCATTCATCCACTCATCCATCCATCCATTCATTTACCCATTCATTCATCCACTCATCCATCCATCCATTCATTTACCCATTCATTCATCCACTCATCCATCCATCCACTCATCCATTCATTCATCCACGCATCCATCCACTCATCCCTCATCCATTCATTATCTCATTCATTCATCCACTCATCTATCCATCCATTCACTCATTCATTCATTCATTCATCTGGTCACCCATCCATTCATTTACCCATTCATTCATCCACTCATCCACCCATCCATTCATTCACTCATTCATCCATCTGCTCATCCATCCATCCATCCATCCATTCATTCACTAATTCATTCATCCACTCATCCATTCATTCTCTCATTTATTCACCCACCAATCCCTCATCCATTAATTCTCTCATCCATTCATCCACTCATCCCTCATCCATTCATTTGAAAGGTTCTGTTGTAGAAGGAGCTTCAGCCGAGCAGACAACTGGATGATCTGGAGGAGATGATCTCCTCTATAAACCCTTTTATGTTTGATTATTAGTATTTTTAGTAGTCTTTTCTTATCCGGCTCTCAGAGAGTACAGACGCTTTTGCTTCAGCTCCCTTATCTGCTTTTCCCAAGGCTCTCTGTCCTGTCTGCCTACAGAGCACTTCTCTGCATTTCTCCTGAAAATCACTACTTTTTTTTGGAAAATGGACTTAATTAACTGGTCATTCAACGTGATTGATAAGACTTTTTCTACGATGAGAACGGAGAAGGGGGCTCCCACCTGCCCTCAAGGGACATATGCAGCGGGATATGCACTCGATTCTTGGGAGGTCTGGTGAATCGTGTGCCTCTCTCAGTCGTCCATCGAGGACGTGGAAGATTTGTGGATATTCGGCCTGATGATCACTGGATTTCTTCTGATTGGAGTGGGTGGATATCTGGTTTTCTGGAAATTTGGGAAGACGGGAGCGATTGGAGTGCGACCCGTACCCACGGAATGTGCCGCCCGTGCGGTGACCTCACAGACTGGGACGTTACTCGAGCTGAACCGTAAGCTGGACAATGTCCTCGCGGCGTTGCCTGTGTTAGTGCGCAAGATGGATGTCATCTCGGAGAGGGTCGCCGGACGGTGTGGGGGTGTTTAGAACGTATAATTGGCTTCACTGGTGGACATGAATGACCACTTATAGACTCCAAGGCAGAGAGGAAAATTATCTCTGTCTGCCCTAAACAAAGTCTTGTTATCCTAATCTGACGCCAAGGCAGCCTCCAAAGCTGCCATCAACATCAACCCCCACGAAAGGAGGAATGTAGATGGATGCTGTGACCCGACCTTCACCCCCCCCCCCCCCCCCCCCCCCCCCCGCCTTCAGATAGTGACCTGCTTCGAGGTCATCAACCTGCAGGAAACTCAGTGTGCTCTCTGGCCCTCCTCTCTCCCTCCCACCTGTTTGACTGCAGCTGGCTGAGCGCCGTACACTGGCAGCTCCCGTTGGAGGATTCAGGATCCTCCCTCCCTATCGGAGTCTGATGTTATCTGTGATGTTTTGTAACTGTGATGTTCGTGCTTATATGTCTGAGGTGTTTGGTTTTTTTGCATAGTACAGCCACGCCCTGTCGGGTGTAACTATGGCATGCCTGTTTTTTCCCCTCCACCAACCTATCCTCATGAAATTGCTTTTCATCTATGAAGGTAGCGCGACTCATGTTGCGAATGACCGCAGTCACCAATTCTTGTCATGTGTCTTGCCCATGTATGTCTGATCTCTGAATTGTGTGTACTGAAACTCAATTTCGTTCTCTGTATGTCTTGCACATGTGGTAGAAATGACAATAAAATGACTTTAACTTTGTATTATAAAAGTATTCCAGGTGGTATTCTACCTCTAAGAAAACACCAAACATGATAAAAGTGACCAGATTAGTCCTTACCTACAGAAGAAGGAAAAGGTTGAATTTGAGTTTGGAGTTGACACAAAGAGTAACTTTACTCTAGACTCTCTGTGTCTCCAGTCTCAGACAGGTCTCGGGTTTGTAACAGGTCATGTAGAGAAGAAACAACAAAACAGGATCTTCCTTGTCCATCCACCAATCCCCAGAGCCCTTTGAGGGTGTCCCAGGCTTCAGATTCTGGGAATCATTGAAAACAATCCCAGGCCCGGTTTCTTTACCCCTACCCAAACCTGTACTTGGGCCAGTATTTGACTTGGACTCGTCTTGGGACAGAACCTGGTGGGACTTGAGACTTTGGAGGTGTAGACTTAGGCTTCTTCCTCTCATTGCTGCCCTCTGTGATCTTAAAGCCTCTCTCGCTCCTGTCGTGCATGCTAGCCCTGGGTAGGAAGTGGGTGGAGACATGTTGGGATTTGACCTGCGGGCTGGAGCCCATTTTAGCCTTCCCTCTTTTATTGAGGGCCACGAACCACTCACGGTCAGTTCTTTGGTTCTTGTGGACCACGGAGGCGTAGGTGTTGTAGCTGTTCTCCTGGAACCGCTCCCTGAACTTGCAGTCGTCTGAGAAGATTTCCTACAGGAAGTGAGGAAGTAGGATTAGCAGGTCTAGCTATTGTTGGCTCTGATTCAATAAGAAGGAAGATACGGCAGCATTTTTCAGAGAGAGTGTGTGTGTGTACTGTGTGTGTACTGTGTGTGTACTGTGTGTGATTCTACAGAACCAAGAGCCTTCCCATCTGCACACGCCAACTTGCTTAGTTTGTTCTCACCTGTGACTGAGGGGGCGTCGGCCTGCATCTTCTGTAGTTTCCAACTCCCATGCAGCCATGGAGGAATATTTTTTAAAAGATTATTCCGGGCTTACACACAGCAGCCTTCCTGTTTGGGCCGTGTCACGTTGGGCCCACAAGTTGCAGGACCAGATCAGAAACAAGCCTCCTGTTGGTTCTGATTTTCCCACTCAGTGCCTAAAAATATCTGGGTGGAAAACTTTGAGGAGCACCCAGAGATGCCTCCTGCCGCCATCTGATTTTCACCATTTAGAAATAAAACAAGCCGTTCTGCTTTGCTGAGGAGCGCAGCGTAGCAGAACGTGATGCCGTTACAGCGTTCGGTAAACATGCCAGTCATGCCCGCTGCAGAACAGAACCGGCCTTTGGGTTAGCGGCCAGCCATTCCTTTGGGAATGTTTTTAAGGATGATTAGAAAATTGCTCGGCTCTCCACAGCCGCCCCCATGGGTGGGTTGGAATGAGTTAGCAGAACGCTGCCGCTGAGCAACGTAGCGGTTCTGGTACCAGTCAGGGATCCGCTGGAGCATGCAGGAGTGTGCTCACACTCCCAGTCACGTAGGCTGCACCCCCACCGGCCCTCATCAGCTCTAACGGCAGCAGACGGATTCCAGAGATGTGATTGTTAAAATCAGCGTGCTTGTACAGCTGTTCAACCTGCTGGGTCAACCACACCCCTTCAAAGGCACATTTCCCATGATTCATTTCTTCTCTTGGTTTGTTTTATTGTCACATAAACAAGAAACAGACAGACCTTTACAGTAATTACGTAGATTTTCTCAGGCTGCAAACTTCCTCTAAAATGGTTTTCTGCTCACTATAACAAGCTAAGTATTAAAGAAAAACATCAAATATCTCATCTTTGAAATTCTTTCACAACCTCATTAGCATAAATACTTCGTTAAACTAGTTATTTGAAGTAAACCTCCACAATACACAGTAATGATCAGACTTTACATGTGTTCAAACATTTATACGTGCATTCACTTCTTTCGTTTTCCAGATGAAACTGAAGGAAAATGGATTTCATCTCTAAGAAAAATGAAGGAAGCGGCCCTCGGGAACACGACTCAGGGAGAAACTCATCATGTGATGAAGACAGATGCCAATTTTTAAGGTTTCCTACAAATCCCAAAACTGGGTGGTCAGAAGGCTGTAATCTGTGATCTGTAATCTGTAATGTACTAATAGTGTTTCTATGATTGTTTACTTTAATGATGAAGGCTACGTTATTGTAACGGACAGTATATGTGGACCCCAGGAAGAGTAGTGTGTATTGTGTGTGTACTGTGTGTGTACTGTGTGTACTGTGTGTGTACTGTATGCATACTGTCTGTGTACTGTGTGTACTGTGAGTACTGTATGTACTGTGAGCACTGTATGTACTGTGTGTACTATCTGAACTGTGGGTACAGTGAGTACTGTGAGTACTGTGTGCACTGTGTGTACTATGTGTACTGTGAGTACTGTGTGTGTACTATGTTAACTGTGTATGTACTGTGTGTTCTGTGTGTACTGTGTGTTCTGTGTGTACTGTGAGTACTGTGTGTGTACTGTGAGTACTGTGTGTGTACTTTGAGTACTGTGTGTACTGTGTGTGTACTGTGAGTACTGTGTGTACTGTGTGTGTACTGTGAGTACTGTGTATACCGTGAGTACTGTGTGTGTACTGTGTGTGTACTATGTGTACTGTGTGTACTGTGAGTACTGTGTGTGTACTATGTGTACTGTGTGTACTGTGAGTACTGTGAGTACTGTGTGTGTACTATGTGTACTGTGTACTGTGTATGTACTATGTGTACTGTGTGTACTATGTGTACTGTGAATACTGTGTGTGTACTGTCTGTGTACTATGTGTACTGTGTACTGTGTATGTACTGTGTACTGTGTACTGTGTGTACTATGTGTACTGTGAGTACTGTGTGTGTACTGTGTGTCTACTATGTGTACTGTGTGTTCTGTGAGTACTGTGCGTACTTGCGTGTGTACTCTGTGTGTACTGTGAATACTTGTGTGTAGAGTCTGTGTACTATGTGTACTGTGAGTACTGTGAGTTCTGTGTGTGTACTTTCTCTGTATTGTGAGTACTGTGTGTGCACAATGTGTACGATGTGTGTACTATGTGTACTGTGAGTACTGTGTGTGTACTGCGTGTCTACTATGTGTACTGTGTGTACTGTGAGTACTGTGCGTGCTGTGTGTACTCTGTGTGTACTGTGAGTACTGTGTGTACTGTGAATACCTGTGTGTAGTGTGTGTGCACAATGTGTACGATGTGTGTACTGTGTGTACTGTGTGGTAGTTTGGGGCATACTTTGACTTCCGATCATTGGAGCGATAACTGGTTAGCAGCTGGTGAGCTGGTCTTTCCCTGCCTTGGGAACGCGAGCACCGCTCCACACCAACATGATGAAACACCATCTCTCAGCATCATCACCCCTCCCACTGCTGCTCACCAGCTGATTGTTGACTCAACTGATTCATTTCCTAGTCTACATCTCCTCTCTCAGACATCCCAGAAAGGACCTAATCTGCTCTTCCTATTAGCCCACGCTAACAGGGAGCTGCTGCCTCTCTTCTCCTGCCAGAAGACCAGTCTCGCCGCCGCCGTCGAATGACCCGCTTACGGTGTCGCGGGCCAGGCTGCTATGGGCAGATTGGAGCTTTCAGTGCATTTGGGGGTTTAAAGACCTTCAGAACTGCAGCTAGAGATTACGGCAGAGAGCAGCGACATGCTGATGTCAGATTTTCTAATGCAGCTCAGACTCAAAGCTGCGCAAACTTGCAAAACAGTTAGAGGAGGTTTCTGTTTTATTACAAGATGCTCGCCTGCAGCAAAAATAAGTCATGTGAGCTGAGAACAAACAGGTATGGCTCAGAAGGGATCATTTGACCTGTTTGTGGCAGATTAGTTGCATTTCTTCAGTTTTATGGCTCCAATGAAGACATTTGGTCAAACACTGCTGGAGCTGAACTGCAGACACTTACTAGCTGTAAGCATTTAGCATCTAAAGAGGCAACCAGCACACCTGGTTCATTGGCTGAACCACCTGTTCAGCAGCTCATCAAGCTCTGCAGAAGCCTGTTAATCACAGGTGTTGGAGCAGGGAGAACAATAAACATCCAGGGCTGGAGACCCGTGATCCAGGGAGTCTGAGACATGAAGATGATGAAACTCAAGAGGAAATCAGGAGCTTGGTGTTCGATACTCACAGTGGCATGAAGCCGTCCTCTTTTATTCATGGCCAGGAATCTCTTACTGTAAACTCCTTTGATGCCAATCACTCCTTGAGAAATCGCAAAAAGCTCCAGAACACCTGGAAGGACAAAAGATAGCAGCTCTGGTGACTGAGGATCAGTAAACAGGCTCAGGTGTCACGATCTGCGTCCTGCGTCCCCCTCATATGTTCTCCAGCCCCCCTCTAGGTTCCCCTTATGTGCCTCCTTGTGTTCCCCAGCCCCACTCCAGGTTCTCCCCTTAGGTTTCTGTGCCCCTTTAGGTCTCCAACCTCTCCAGGTGTCCCTCTAGGATCCCCCTCATGCGTACCTAAGCTTCACGTGCCCCTGCTTGTCTCCAGCTCCCACCAGGTTTGCCAGGTTCTTTAGTTTTCTTTAGTTTTCTTTGTATTTATATTATCTAGCTAGTTTTTCCCTGTAGTTTCATAGGTTCAGGTTTTCTTCTAGGTTCCTTCCTTGGTCCTTCCCCACCGATTTATCAGTTCTCCTTTCCTCCTTAGATCATTAGTTATTAGTCTTGTTCTTCTAGTCTTTAGGTTTGGTTGTTATTCATAGGTCATGTTTTATTTCCCCTCCTCAGCTTAGTTTCCTCTCCCTGATTAGTAGATTGATTTCACCAGGTTTCTCTCTCCCCACGCACCTGCAGCTCATCTCCCAATCATCCTGCCCCTGTGTATAAAACCCTGTCTGTGTCTCAATGTGTTGTTGGTCCATTGTCACCCCCACCCACACCACACCCCCACCCCCACCCCCACACCCCCTAGTCTCTAGGTTTCTGGCTTCGTGCCCTCTTAGGCTCTAGGTACTTTTATTTTTTTGGGGCTAAATCATTCTTAATAAAGAATGTTTTATTTTACATCCTCTCCTGCTTCGTGTCGTTCTGGGTATCTGCACATTGGGTGCAACTCCTCCAACCCACATCGTGACATCAGGGAGTTCCTCAACTGGAGGACCGTGAGTATTTTGGCTTCTTTTTCCTGAGTGATGGTGGGATGGAGGAGAAATGGAGGAGTGGGTCGGACTTTGGACCGTGGCAGATCTAAAGGATTCACCTGAGGTAGCCGCTTCCCTTTCCAGGTTTTCCAAACATCCCTTTGGGAGGAGAGCCTGGAGCAAACCCAGATTTTCTCTTGCCTGGCCCAGGAGGGGCGGGATTTCTTAACGTTTCTAAACAAAAAGCTTTGTTTTCTTGTGTTTAAAAAACACAAAACCGAGTTAAGAAAAGTACAAAGTTACAGAAGGTTTTTCTAAAGAAGTCAGTGATGCTTAGCTTAAGTCACCTTTCCATCTATTCCAGCAGGACCTTCTGTCCCGGCTGCAGAAACAGCCCCACAGCAGCATACTGCCACCTCTGTGCTCTGCTGTAGGTACAGTGTGTTGATGTTGTTGGGAGTGATGAAGCCATTATTTGCATTTATCTCTTTTTAATATTGATAATATTGGATTAGAGTTACAAAGCACTCTCCATTATTCACACACTGCTGGTGTTAGTAAGATACATAGCCACAGCCGCCCGGGGGCTGTCTGACAGAGGCAAGGCAGCCATTTGCACCATTGGCCCTTCTGACCACCACCAACACAGGTGTTTTACCTAAGGATGACCCCAGAAGACCCCTGGTGGGAGCTGGGATCCATCCCACAGTCCTCCCATCACTTGTCAACCCGCTCTACCACTGCAGCTACTGCTGCTTTTCCTTGGATGCTTTAGGTCGGATTGTGGAACTCAAGCTGGAAAAATTTTGGCACATTTTCTCAATTTTGGCCGCTCCTCATTCCAGTTTGCTGCTTCCAACGACTGGAATGAGCTGCAAAAATCACCGAAGCTCACTACCAACATTCCATTATCTACCTTCAATAATTCATGGCGATCAATAGTTTCTGATCAATGTTCCTGCTTCTGAGTACTTTTATGGGCCTACCCACTAGCATCGGCTCCACACCACCCGGATAGCTCTAGCCGGTGCCAGCCTGGCCCGGTTGATTCCACATATCGCTTGGGCTTCCCGATAGGGTTGCGGAAGGCGCTTTATAAATAAAGCTTTGATTAACTGATTGATTGATATCCTTGCTTAGGAATGCACAGAATGCAGTCAGAGACGTTCTCTCCTCCTGGGTAATCAGCGTGATAATGAATTGTGATGCTGTACGCCCAATGGGCTGATTCTGCCCACCAATCGGAGCAGTGGGTGTGTTGGCCCTGGTCAGCCTGAAGCAGACCACCTCGGTAACGGCGCTTACACATTAGCGTCAGCACGGTCGGGGATTGGTGGGACTGGATGGTGTAACACTGGTAATTTACATCTAATTAAGGACCGTAAGACATTAAAATTTCATATCTAGTATGAAATCCATCTTGCGGACACTGGATTAGGATGTTCGGTCTCCAACAGGCGGTGTAGTGTTCACATATAAGTCCAAGGGACTTTTCAAGAATGCAGAAATCCCCGAGCCAGGGGCGGAGCTTAATACACACTGGAAAGTCCGCTCCATAAGGTAAACAAAAGACAGACAAGAGCTGTGTTGCTTTTGGAGACTCTGGTCCACATTAGTTTATTAATTAGCTGTGTGTGTCCTCATGATCTTGTGACACACACACACACACACACACACACACACACACACACACACACACACACACACACACACACACACACACACACACACACTGATTTCTCCCCTGAGCAGCTGTCTGCTCTTCAGGGCAAGAGCTCCGATGGTTGCAGCCTGAAAAAAGGCAGGCTAACGTGGACACTCTCTATGCTATCCAGACCATGCGGAGCCGATGCTAGTGGGAAAGGCCCAAAAGACGGTTTTAGTCTGTTCTGACTGCTTGTACATATTATATATGAAATCAGTCCTTTGTCTTCCTGTCTGACTGTTTTATCTCACCTGTTGTTCTTTGGTGTAAAGCTAACTATGGGACTGTTGCTGCCTCTCGGCCAGATCGTGGTCGTAAATGAGAATGAGTTCTCTATCCACTCATCTGGTTAAATAAGTAATCTGAACCTTGGCTTGGACTTTCCCCAGACTCTTTAAGGTGTAATCCTCACACGTATGTTTTTGACTTGCCCTGTTCTGGGATTGTTTCAGACAAAAATGCAGCCTGCCTAGAGTAGTCCATTTATTTGATCCGGCTCTGACTACACAGATGTTTTTACCAACATCTGTCGAATTTCTCAGAAAAGAAACACAAAATAAGCTGAAAACAGGTTTTCTCTCATCAAATATTGATAAGAAAATCTTCATTTAGCAAATCTGAGAGGTCTGGTCTCCTGTTCCTGCAGGATTCTCCTCCACATGACTGTCACTGAAATCCATGAAACCCGACAACTCCTCAGGAGGGAGCACGAAGACACGTGAGCACGTCCACCGTCTCAGCTGTCTCAGATGCTGCGAAGAAAACGTTCATGTCTCTGACTCCAGTCTGCTCTGTGATCTTTAGTTTTCAGCTTTTTGATAAGAAATTCTTTATTTTACAGATAAGTCCTTGTTTTTACAACAATCACAAAAATGTTGTCATCGTTTCACGTTTGCAGCAAAAAAGGACTCATTCATTCGTTCATTCGTTCGTTCGTTCGTTATGGTGGAGAGCATAGAAAACGTATATGACTAAATGAATTATTTTTGTCATGAACAGAAACTTTGAATCGAGCTGGAACAGATGACTCTTTCAGACTGGTTAGGAAAACCAGCTGATGGGGAATCGGCCCACGTTAGTTTTTCTGACCGTGAACGCACCTTTTTACAACCAGCGTTTGTGAAAACAAGGCTTTTCTGTAACTGGGCTGATATAAACGTGGTAAACTCAACCTCACTATCAGGAATTTCAGCTAAACCGGATTATTAAGCTTCGTGCTGGAGCCGGAAACCAGCGGTATCACCCAACAAACCCAGGATCGGTGCACCCAGTACTTCATCGTCTGGTTAATAATTCAAACGTGTTTAAAGCAGCACAAACTAGCAGGTGTGTCACGTTTTACCTGTTAAATCTCTGAACTGCAGAGCAGAAGTGAAAACATCAGTCTGAGGCAATAATAGAAAACCATTTTTAAAGGGGATATTTTTGCTGCTGTGATGTCACTCAGCACATCCGGGTGTCTGGAGCTGCACCTGTTCCTTCCACAAATAGTCTACCTGCCGACATCCCGGACAGGACTCAGCCTAAGTTTAGGAGCTCGGTCCTCACACACTTCCTGTGTAAATCACTGTTGTTCCAACTGTCACAACCCTGATGGGTAAAAACGAGAGAAGCGTGGAGACGTGTGTGCGCGCGCGCTCTCTCAGCGGGGCGCCAGGCCGAGAGGAGGACTTACTCAGCTGGTTGGGCTCATGGCTGCCGTTCACCCTGCCGTCGGTGTGGATCTGCAGATGGAAGCCGATGCCAACCCGACAGTAGAGCCTGCACGTCCTGCGTCCAGAACCGATCCGCTGCTGCAGAAGTTCCACGGAGACGCGCTCCGCTGCGGCTGCGACGCAAAACAACTGAGCGAAGGTCAGAAAGTAGAGGAGAACATTCATTCTTCCAAAGATGGAGTCTCGAGCTACACCACTTCCTTCGCTCCCATCGCTCCGGAGGTCAACAAAGCTCTGTAGGCGTGCGCACACGCGCGCGCAGCGCCCGTTGGCACGGCCCTGTGGCTGCAGGGGCTGGAGCGGCTCTGCGTGGCGCGGGGATATTTATAACAACCCGCTCATGTCGGAGCTCTAATGGACGCGCTTTCATCCAGATTCTGTCGCCTGAGATGCCACTCCTGCTTCAGCACCGACCCTCAGCAGCGGGGCGGGAAGGAAGCGCGAACCACACGGAGCAATCCTGCGCGCCAGGACGCAGCAAGTGCCTCGTTTTACGCACGGGAGCAAATCATGTTCGCCTGGTTCAGAAAGTACAGACTACACCGCTCACCTGGGGTTTATTCATGGGAAAAAACAGTAAAAGCTGTGAAGCTGTCAGAAACCTTGGTTTATCTGTTCCTTCTGAGCTGAGAGAGAAGCTGAAAGCTGCTCCAAGTACCAGAGTGGGACCAAATCAAGCAACTGCAACTGAACACATGAACAGGATTTCTTTTCTTAGCAAAACGAATGAAAAAGACGTCTAACGACTCAGTGGTCATCGATCATCTTGAGCTAAGGACAGCAAAACGCAGAGGGTGTGAAGGGTGGTTGCTTTGGACTGCTTTAAACACTAACCGAGGCGTTTCATCCAGAAATGATATCAAACTTAAAGTTCTCCAGATGTTCCAAATACTGGCCCATTGTCTCAGTGACGACAGCAAAAAAAGTGTCTTTAAATGTCCCCCCACCCTGTTCTCCTGCTGTAAAACAGCTGATTCAGAGCCTGAACTCCGTCCTCTGAGTTCTGATTTAAATCAGAGAATCATCTGCAGGATGGTGCCCCACCCCCTGTGGTTTGACTAAATGGGATCATCCTGAACACAAAGTCCCAGAAATCAGTCATCATCTGGGTACTTCAGTCAAATCAGAAGCACTCTTCTCAGCCAGATGTGGAGAGAAGGGTCTCACAACTCAAATCAGCGGGACTCTTCTGTGCATTTAAACACTCTCTTCCCACAGCAGCAGTTCATCTGCAGAATGCAGCGGAAATCCAAACAAGAAGGGAGAACTGTGCAAAGTCTGCCCAAAGGTGAAAATTTGAAATCTTGAGATTTGCAAGAAAAACTAAACTTTACTCAAAATGGAAAAAGTGCTTCAGTATTCAGCTACGGTTCCTCCGTCCGAAAAGACGCCTGTTCACGTTTATATTCTGTGAAATAGCTGAACTTGGTCTGAGAGGAATCAGTCATCCGAGTTTAAACTAAACCACAAAGAACCCAAACGTCATTAAAAAATGTATGAAACTTTCCTCACACTGATGTTTATAACGCATTACTATAGTCGTTTAATCTGGATTAATGTGCGATTCTGGTTCTGTTTGACTTTGAAAGCCTCTCTGGGGTTTAGTTGAGGGATGAACTTATTAATTGTCCTTCTTTACACTCTTTCATCCTAATCCAGTCTCTCGTTGTGTTATGTCTGAATTGGATTAGCTCACACGCCTGTGGATTGCAGCCTGTTTGGGGTGTAATTGTCTCTGGCACACAGAGCGCTCGGCTCGGGCCGGGCCGGCCTTACCTTCTGAGTAAACATCAGGCCCGTGCTCAGTCCTGAGGCCGCTCTAGTAGGTGAGGTAATCCTCCTGACTCGTGTAAACACGAATGATTCTGATGGATTCCTCCGCCCCGGTTCCTCCCAGCTTTCAGCAGCTTTTCCATCTAAGCAAAATGGAGACTGCAGGGTTGCTTTGGAGCTTCTGATTGGCTAAATTCTCCATCAGGTTCCTCTGATGTTTGGGGCAGTCATTCAGTTTGCTTTCTTCTTCAACATGAAAGATAACTACTTTAGTAAAAATGTTCATGCCCCAGTTCAGCTGGAAACCCCGGATCAAAGGGAAGCACGGAGGATTATGGGTAATAAAATATGGCTCTTTCTGATAGGAGGTCCTGGTTTTTGGGACACTTCTGCAGGACGTTGAACTGGACAGCGTCACCTGAGGTGTTGCTCACTGCAGCAGCTCAGCTGCTGTTGTTATTTAGAAAAAGTCTTTCCAGGAGTTTTCCCAAATCTTTCAGAGATGAAAATTCAATAAAACAAGATGTTTCAATCAATCAATCAAAGATACTTTATTAATCCCAGAGGGAAATTAGAGTTTCAGTACACACAATTCAGAGGTCAGACATACATGGGCAAGACACATGACTAGAATTGGTGACTGGTCATTTGCAACCCTGAGTCGCGCTACCTTAATAGAGATAAGAGGGAGGATTGGTTCAGGTGGAGGGAAAAAGGCACTTCAGAGTTACCCTCCACTGGGAGGACAGCTTTGCTCTGCAAAAAAAAAAACACTTCAGACAGATATGCAACAGACTTCAGACAACACAACATAAGTGTCCACTAGGTGGGGTGGTGGGTTGGGACTATCCACACTTCAGTTCCTGCAGCCACGATAAGCAGCGCATGTCACCTCAGTGTGGATAGGGGAGGAGCATTGAGGGTTGGAGGGTTGCAGTGACCCTGGAACGTTTCAGCGGCCTTCCCGCAGTCCCCCCCAGGCTGGGAAAGGAGACAGAGTTGAGTTGCCATAGCGACGGCACATTCCACATTTCTTCTGAGGGGGGAGTTTTCCTTGGAGCTTTGCAGGCTCAAGGGCACCAGATACCAATTAGAAATTGTTTTGGGGCCAGACAGAGGTAATTTCCTCTCTGTCATACAGTTTGTTGGTCCTCAACCTCTCAAATTCCCAATAATGGACGTTAATCTATTCCAATCCGTGCTGATTCGTCCACTCTCTCCTTGATGTCATCCATCTTTTGTGCCAATGAATGAACCTCGGCCAAAGTCCCAAGCTACGATTCATCTCGACAATTATGTGAGTCTGTGAATTCACAGCGTGGTGCAAACCATCTCTGAGCTCCGGTATCAGGCCAATATTCCTCGACAGCTCGTTAATTTTCCGGTAAGCCATGTAGCCTCCTAGGCCAGTGAAGGTTAATTAAGCCTGTCTTTGGCCTAGCTGTTAGCTTATCAGTCCCAAAGAATAAGAGTTGTATTTCTCTAAACAAAGGCTGTTCAGGACCAGAGAATCCTTAGGGAATTTTACAAAGTCTGAACCTTTTAGGTACTTCAGTTGACTTCCTTGTTACAGACGTCAGGCTGCCTGCTTGTTTCGTCACAGAGTGATGGGATGTGGATCAGACTTTCACTCAGAGTCGACAGTCGACACATGACACCAGCAGCAGGCAAGGCGGGTTAAGGGTCTTGCCCAAGGACACAAAAGCAGCATTTTCTGGTCGGAGCCGGGATCAAACTGCAAACTTCTGATTACTGGGCAACCCGCTCTACCTCCTGAGCTGCTGCTGCCCCTTCCGTCCTGCTTGGTCGCAGGAAGCTGGTGTCCCACCCCAGCAGCCATGGGCCGTGAGGCAGGGGACAACCTGGGCAGGTCTCATCACAGAGGACATAAATCCAGTCACACAACCACAGGGACAATTGGAAGTCTCCAGTTCACCTGACATGCATGTTTCTGGTCTGCACGAAGAAAGTGGAGAAGAGCACGTTTATGAGGAGAGCATGCTAACTCCACACATCTGGGACAGTTCCACCTCACAGCCCTGCAGGTTCACCTCCTTAAACCCTTTAAAGAGCAAGTCACCCCCAAATAAACTTTTTCCCCTGAGAAACTAAATAAATGTGTGTCTAATCATGCTGCAGACACGACTAGTCAATAATTTGCCACTTCAGTGCATCTTAGTTAAAATTTAAATATTCTGCCTAAAACTGGCAGTGTTGCGCCGTCGTCGGGTAAAAACTCTGCACTGTATTTGAATTTAAATCTGCCACCGCTATTGGCTAAGAGGTATGCTATGATGTCAACTGGTACATTATGATGTCACAATGCTGTCATGAGCCTGTGTGTGTGTGTATTTGTTAGCAGCTCCGCCCTCTCGGTCTGCCAGGCAACAGCATTTGTTGCATTTTTCAAACATGAAGTGAGAGTGGATTTAGACTCTGGTAGGGGGTGACTTGCTCTTTAACTTGCGGGTCAAACACACATGCACACATTTTACCCTTTTTAGCTTTGATTTAAAATGGCCTGTATTTGATGTGGCACCTTCTAGAGTCCTGTAACCCCCCAAGACACTTTACAACACAATCAGTCATTCACCCATTCACACAACAGCAGCGACAAACTGATCGGGACTCGAACCTGCAACCTCTCAATCAGGAGAGTGCGCTTAACTCCTGTGCCACCGTTGCATAAAATGCACATAATGCATCAAAACCATAAGAGAAATAACTAATAAATAAAAACGTTGTGAAAACATGAGGAGGTCTGAATTAACAGTTCATGTCCAGACGATAAACATAATAAACAACTTTACATAAACAACATCCCGTTAGAGCCCAGCTGGACTGTTTAAACTCATTTTTAGAACAAAAACACAAACTAGCTTCTCTCTAACTGAAGCAGCATGGGTCTTAAACCTGCAGCCCTTGAACTATGACTCCACTCACATTTCCAGTTCAAACTGCAGAAAGTTTATTTTGAGAGGAATAAGTTTTCCTTACTGCGTGTAACTGGATCTCGTTAGGAAATCAGGAAACTGCTGGAACTTCTGTAGTGGTTCAGCACGAAGATGCATCTTTTGTTCCACCGGGAAACTCCCGTCTGAAGATCCTTCTGTGTCAGACAAGCTGTGATCCCTGGGTGGTCACGGGCCACAGGACGGAAGATGAATCTGGTCGGTTTTTACTCCCAAGGAGCAGCCGGACGCTGATCTTCTCTAATCCATTACCTCAGCATCTGGTCCACCTCTGGACCGCCATGCATCTTCATCTAGACCTTTCACACACACACACACACACACACACACACACACACACACACTCACAAACACGCACGCACACACGCACGCACGCACGCACGCACACACACACACACACACACTCACAAACACGCACGCACACACGCACACACGCACGCACGCACACACACACACACACACACTCACAAACACGCACGCACACACGCACGCACGCACACACACACACACACACTCACAAACACGCACGCACACACACACACACACACACACACACACACACACACTCGTTCCTTTCTGGAAAAGGAACAGCAGTAATCACGTTGCAGGTTCGATTCCGGCTCCAACCAGAGAACGCTGTTGTTGTGTCCTTGGGCAGGACACCTGCTGGTGGTGGTCGGAGGAACCGGTGGTACCTGTGCTCGCCACCTCTGCCAGTGCACTCCAGGGCAGCTGTGGCTCCATCGTAGCTCATTATCACCAGGGTATGAATAGGTGGATGACTGATTGTGTTGTAAAGCACCTTGGGGGGTTCACTGTACAAACACAGAGCAGTCACCATCAAAAACCAAACCAACTAAAACATCTAAAGGCCTCATTTTAGCCGTGCTCTGCAGGTCTGTGCAGGTTCAGACTGAAGATGAATACAATTGATTTAATCTAATCTGGAGTATTTTTCTAAAACGCTGAAGAGAAATTAATAATTCATAAAGTCTTTCATCAGTCTAAAGAGAAGGTCACAGCTCAGTTAAAAGGCTCCTGTTGCATTCCTGGAGCTCAGGAGCCTGTCAGCAGAGGCTGGTTGTTGTTATTTCCTACAATAACCACTAATTTTCACATGTCTTGTCTGGTTGGACATTCCTGCAGCAGCAGCTTGGAGTCAAACAGCAGGAACG